GAGAAAGGAAAGGGGGGGCGCCAAGGCAGCAGCGAAAGGGGGTATATTTTTTAAAAAAAGGGGGGGGGGAAGTACTTATTTATTTATTTCTCTCTCTTTCTCTCCCTCTCCCTCCCCGTGGTCTTAAAGGATTCTGTCAGCTGCTGCTGCTGCTGTTTTTAGCTCTAGGAAAAGCTGGAGAAACCCGCCGAGGCAGGCAGAGCGATGCTTCTTGGCCGCGAGGAAGAAGCCAACGCCGGGCATCTCAGCAGGGGGAGAGGGGCTGCCCTGGCCTCGGACTTTCCTCCTCGCAAGCAACAGATCACTCTTTTCCAGAGCCTGCAGATTTTGGCCTCTTGTTTGTTTCTACACAGCCCCAACTTCGCCCCGACACCTCCAGGTGTTGGACGTTGTGGCCGCTCTCCCGACATTGCTCTTCTTCACAACAGCCTTGTGAAGTAGGAGGAAAAGAAGGACTGGCTCAAGGTCACCATGAAGTCTCTTCCACAGCATGAATTTTAACCTGCGCTTTCCCTTTTGGTCTGAGAATCCAGGCTTGCCCCACCGTGCACAAAGTTGGGGGAACACCTTCAACAGCATATATTGGATGTTATGGAAGGCAGCAAATAGTCATTCTCCTCCCCCCCATGCTGTCCCGACTGGAAAATGGGACAGATGCGGTGGGTTTGAAAGGCAGAGAGGCCATCGGAGGCCCCTTGTGGTGGTTGATACCAGGGAACAGTTGGTAGAAAGATCTCCTGGTGCAACTGCTATGCTGGCTAAGGTTGGCAACCAGACTAGGCGGTATCTTCTTGCTAATTGTAGTCACCACGTTGGCCCATGGAATGTTTCTGTGATCCCTCACCATCGGCTACCCTGGCTGGGAATTGAACACCCAAGATAGCACAACGTCTGGAAGGATGGGTTTGCCAACCCTTGGTTTTGCAAATGCCCCAATGTATTTCCCCAGAAGAAACCCCTTCCGTGTCCAATGTGTTTACTCCCAAGTGAGTAAAGCACATGTGGAAGTATAACCTCAGTTGTTCTGTATTACCAGAAGAGTCCCATGCCCAGGAACAGTCAAATCCCACCCACCCCTCTGTCAAGATCACAGTGATTACATTTTTTAAAATGTGCATTTGGTACATAATGCACAATGTTTATTTAACAATTTGGATTGCTTGCTGTGATTTGTGATCTACAGAAAGCAGAAAGCTTGTGGAACAGTGTGGTCAAGACACCATTTATTATGTTATTTTTCTGAACTTTGCTATCGGGATGGAGAGACAGCTGGAAAAAAAACATCTTAAGGAAAGATGCATAGGCCCTGAAAGGCAGAAAGAGAGCCTAGTTATAGCTGTATAGCAGACAACATCCCCCCGCCCCCCCAGACAAAGAACACATAGGAAACTAGTACTCATTCATCATGCAGCAAGGGGGTGAATTGGTATCCAGGCTGCAAAATATTAGCAGCATATCAATTGATGCCTTCCCTTTTTTTTTTTACTGAGACAGAAGAAAAGCATTCTGAAGCAGTTGCCTCACACCCCAAGGCAGAAATCCTTTTGCACTTGGTGCCGTGTAATGTTACACCTGCAAAAGTTCATAGGAAGTTATGCCCAGGCAGTCTGCATGACATGTCTGATTACACATAATTAATTGTGCACCTAAGAAACTGCTCGCTAGATTTGACTTCCCCCTTGGCACAAATGTTATGATTGCTTGTACAATTATGAATTACACAGGCATAGCTACACAACAGGATTTTGTCCCCAACCTCCCAAAACAGCATGCCTACTTCCTACTTAGCCGTATTATATGTAATTGATGACATATATACATCACATTGGTACATTGGGAAGTCTGATTATATTTGTGTCCTGACCCCTCCTGCCCTTTCGTTTGCTCAATTCGTATCCCATCTTTCCTTCACAAAGCCCAGGAGCAGGTATACTTCCTCCACTTTGCTACAATTCACTGTCACAGCAACCTTATGAGGTAGGCTACAATGAAGGTGATTGACACTTCAGGTGGGAGACTGGCCTTCCTTGGAGACACTTCCAACGTTACAATTCTGTGATTCTATGGCTGACCAGAAGTCACCCAGTGAATTTTAGTAATTAAGGGGGTGGGTTGAGATTTGAACCAGAGTCTCCATCCATACTAGCTTCTGCCAGACTATAAACCTATATACATTGCCAGACTTCCATACCACCCATACCTGAGGCCAAAGACTTGCTTAGGGAGCAAAGAACAACCCCTATGAATCACACAGTTCTAATTCTCCCACCCCCCCATATGACCTCCCACATCCCATCCTAAGGCATCAGTTGTCTAATGGTGTGGTCGTCCTGTTATTGGATAGAGAATGAAATGAGCGTCCTAAATGCTGCATTCTCCAGACAGGGAAAGACTATGAAGGGACTGGGAGACAAAATGGCGGGTCTCACGGAACCTACTCTGTTTCTTTCCAGCCTAGCCATTTGCCTTTATACAGGGTGGAAGACATTGTCCTGTTACCAGCGTTGAAATAAGGCCCAAAGGGCTTCTCTGAGTTGAATCAGGTATGTGTGGGTGGAGTGTTTCCTTAGGCAGCAAAAGGAATTCAATTTTTATAATATAAAATAAAGTCAGTTACTTGGATTATGATTAAGAATCATTCATTGTCAAATGGTAGCTTATGTTACAACCACACAACAGTTTATGTTGTGTGAATTTGTACAGCCAAGCGGGGATTTGATCCCAGGTTTCCTGAATCCTACTCCAATGCTCTATCCACTATATTACCTAGTCTCTCATTTCTAGTTAGAAGGTGCAGTAAAGCTGTCTGAAAATGACTTCCCACCTCATAATTTTTCCACAACAACGGAGACCAAAATTCCATGAATACACTATTTCAAACAAACAACCCCCCACTGCTCATCACACAAATTCTAGTTTCTACTGAGCCATTTACCAAGTACTAACTAACGACTGTGATTGGTAAATCATGCCTCTTTCTCCATAAATTTAGCTTTGTCCTTTGGATCATTCTGTCCATCAACTGGCAAGGGTAAAGCTCCTTGGAAAAACCTTGTCATAACTAACACAAATAGGTATTTAATGTCTGAAAGGGGGGGCACAGAATAATAATTCTGGCTGTTGATGTTTGTTACATTGCTTTGATTTCAATTTGTTGTGTTTTTTAAATTAATAATTTAGTATCATATACCACCTTTAGTCCTATTTTAAATGCCAGCATACAGTTTTTAATAAACACATATGGATAGTTTTACCACACGCAAAAGAGAACAATTTGCAAATAAAGAGGTGAGAATTTTTACCATATACAGGGCCCAGTGAATGGTGTAATAAATTCATTCTGAAGCCGTTCTTTCCTTCTCTCAAATTGCCAAGTTGGAGGAAAATGTATCATTGTTATTCTTAATTATTTGAATAAATAAGGAAAGTTTTACCACCCATCAAATACTGATTAAAGGGGGGGAGAGATATTTTTTCTTACCACACACTAGTTACAGGTGTGTGGTAAAATGTTTAGTAAACTAGCTCACCTGCATCCATTCTCTGTCTCTGCCAAGCTGTGGAAAAAAAAATCGCCATTTCTCTAGATTCCTAATGAGTTCCAGATGTGTGGTAAAATTCTCCTTAGGATACAGCAAGATGGTGCTTTCCTCAATAACTGATAGTAACACCTGTGGTTTAACCAAGACTTTCGAGAATAGGTTTCAGCAATGACCAGGAACAGGAATTTAATTATAATTGTGGGAAGGAGTGGCATTCACAACTGTAAACATTTGCTTCATGAAGCAAATGAGCTAGCTAGCTGATGACAATGTAATTACCTTTCACTTTCTTTATAGCAATGAAGCTGTGTAAAAGCAAAGAAAATGAACAGGCAAAGGCATCGCTTCCGCCTCCCTTTCCCGACTGGCCCACTTAAACAAATCCATTCTGCTTTATCACATCAATAGGCATCATTGCCCTCAAATGTTGAATATGTTGTGGCCAAAGATTGTTCAGCCTTAAATGAATTTGCTGTTTTAATTATTTTAAAATTCCTAAGTAGTCCCCCACCCCACCCATTGGAAAAAGGCAGATACCTGA